CCGGTTGCCTGGATACTCTGAGTTTCCTTGAGGCAATTGCTAATCAATGTGCAGTTGCAGCTAGGTGAATTCTGCAGACAGCAGCCAGATCTGTCATCAGAATGTGGAAATCTGTAGCAGAATATGATCTGGGAAGAGAACAGACAAAACAGTGTAGCAGGAGCTCTGCTCCCAGGAATCCATTCATCCCGTGCTAATCAGACACGAGCACTCTTGGCTGTGTTAAATGAGCAGAGGCCCTTCTGCTAAAATGAAGGGTCAATTGTTTTGGTTCTTGTAGAGTGTGGAGAACATGAGCTGCATCTCAGAAAAGAAAACAATTCCATTAATAATCACATTTGAAGTCTTCGTGTCAAGACCTTGCCTTAATTTTGGCGCTTATCTCCAGGTCTCTTTCCCCAAATACGCATTTGCATGAACACTGTGCTGCAAACTGCTTTTTAAAACGTGAGCTCTTAACGGAGTCCTTGTTACCACAGAGATGTAACTTTGAAGATCAGACACATTCTCGTGGACACAGGGTCCACTGTGCTACACAGAAGCTTCTGAGCGTCTTGTTGGTTTTTTTGGTTTATTTGTTTTATAATTGCAAAATTATGCCTCACAGCAGGCATCAATAAAAGAACTCTGCTCTGCACTTTCCTCAGACAAATGCAGTCCCAGACCTCGATCTCTTTGCAACAAAAAAATCAAAAGAAATTCTCCCTACAAAAACATAATAGCTACAGCAAAACCAGCCCTGGAAGGCTCAAACACCTGAAATGTAAGACTGCAGACTGCATTCTTCAGTTGGTGTTGTGCCATTGGGATTAATGCTTGCTTTTGCTCACAGCCCCTCTGCCCCTAGAGCTCCCATCAGCTCTGCCACCCACAGCTTCTGTGGTCTCATTTTGCCTCTCTGCAAGAAGAGACACCTGGCCTCTCATCTGTACAGTTTTAGTCCCTTCTAGATTGCATCTGCCATCTTATGCATCTCTCTCCGTTCTGTGAATGGACTCCTAACAACTACGTCTGAATCAAATGGCAATTGACAGCAGTTCTTATGGGTTGGTTTCCCAGTTATTTTCATGTAAGTTTAGTAATTGATGTATCTTTATGAATTACATTTCAAATTCCAGGTCACTTAAAGAACTTAGAATCATGGATGGATTTACTTCCCTTCAGGGGAATGTTTAATAATAGCGTATTGTTATTTTGAAATATAACACAATTTTTTCATTGCCACTGGCTTTCTAAAACTCAAATAAACAGAAAAGCCCAAGTTCTCTGGATGGACAGCATTGCTTTAATTCGTAACTGTGGACAGGATAGATGGCTTTCATTGATTACCATCTATGCTTGAGCTGGCAGAGGAGGAAGTGTTATGATGATGAGGACTTGTCTTATTGTTGTGATTAGCTGTAACCGAAGCCTAATTACTGTGTGATGCTGAAATGTGTAAGCTGCCGACACTTAGAGATAAGGAGATGAAAAGAAATCAACTCATTCCAAATAGCTATTATGTTTTCTTCCTTATTATTGGTATTTCTGCGTGCACTCCTGAGTGGTACTTTAGAATACATGGATTAACTCATGGTTTTGGCTGCAAGAGCTGCCATCAAACTCGAGTTGTGGTTAAATGTGTTTTAAGCACCAAAGGGCTGAATAAAATAAGGGTTAGTGAAAGGTGCTTGGCAAAGCATGCAGCTAATGGTATGTGCATCTGCTGAGTGAATGCATTATTAGCTATTATTGCAGTGACTGTAGGCAGGATCCCAATGAGGATGAGGAGTGGGAAGATTCAGGAGCCTGCTACCCTTAGCAGTCAGGCATGAGAAGGTTCCCAGGTGCTTCATAACTGGCGCTTCCATGGAACAACAGAGATTTTCCTGTTGTTTTGTTGAAGAAGTCTCCCTCAGCTGGAAGCTGAGCTGCTCTTTGCATCCTCGGGGCATCCCGTTAGAGGCACTCATGCCTTGTTGTTTGCTGAGCATGCTGGAGAGTTCTGCTGGAACCACTGTGCTGAGTTCCCAAAATGGTTGGGGATCCTCCGGGCTGGCAGATGCTTGTGTATGCTCACGTACCATGCTGTTAATAATTAGAGCTGATTGGATATTCAGTACAAATTACACTGGCTATGGAGTTAGCCCCTTCTGTAGGCTTACAAGTGGCTCACAAAACACTGTTAAAGCATATTTTTAAATATATGTTTTTTCTGATAAACACTATCAGATTTAATTTGAGCAAACGATGTCGAGTCTGAGTGCTTAAAAACTCTTCCTGGGCTGTTCACTATCAGTTGCTAATGGTGTGTGTTTGGATTGCTGAGTCACAGGGTAAATATTTTCTCTTTATAATTGGTAGGAAGATAATTTTAAGCGCCAGCCCCTCCTAATGGTGTGTTTGCCCCCACGTCTGGGCCTGCGTGCTGTGCCTTCACAATGAGCTGCTTAGCAAAGGAGAGATCTGACTGCATGCAGCAAACACAAGGGGAAGGATATTTCTTTTCCCTCAATCTGTCAGATGGAAGCTGCCTTGGAGCTTCCCTTCGCAGTTTCTCCTTGTGAGTTGGGTGCTTTGCCACACCTGTCTGTCCCTGTGTGCATCTGAAGGAAGAGCTGTTGTTTCTTTAATACTGGCTCAGGCTGAGTCTGCCTCCTGTGGAGGAAAAAGAAAAGTTCAGCCCTATTGGCTGCATTTCCTACATTCTGCAAAACGAAACCCACGCATGCATAGCCACACTCCAATCTTGACGTGCATTCATATGTATTTGTGGGGGTCCTCTAAGGCAGCATGCAGTTTACGTAGAAAATAATTCTTCACTAATAGTGGTAGCAACCAACCATGGCTAGTTTGAGAAAGGACTGCTGGTTTTGCTGTAGGTAAATTGGAACCACTTGGAAGACACCTGTTTTGCTCCTGGGAAACAGCTCTCCATGAGCTCTTCATAAGCTCAGCCTTGCCTGTTGATGGAGGAACTGAAAGTGAGCGAACTCGAAGATACGTATCTGTGATTGAAGGAATGATGGTAACATCTGTGCTTTGGGTTTGTCCAGAAGAAGTAAAAATGCACGTTAGCAACATCCACAGAGCCCCTTCATTTGCTCTATTGCATCCAGTGCAAAATCTGTGGCTTAGCAGTTAACATCCTTGTGAAACACATCTACTTTTTGAAAAGAGCAGAAACAAACAAAAAGTAGCAGCACCTGTGTGGAGAAATGCAGAAGAGGACAGGAGGAGAGCAGGGTGTTTAGCTTTTTTCTTCCCACCTACTTTTGTATTTTTCCTTTTGTACTCTCTTTCCCCCATTCCTCCTCATTCTGTATAAAACAGTTCTGCAGTATGTAGAGCATAAGAATCATTTCTCTAGCAGAGGCTGCAACCTGCTTTAGGAGCCTCCATCCCCATTAGAGACTTTCCAGAAGAAGTAATTTCCTTCTCCCTATAAATTATGCATCAGTGTACATTTAGGATTCTGAAATGACGAACAGAAGATGAAAGCGTTGCGGAGCATCGCTGCTCCCATGGAGCTGAATCCATGACATTGTGTACAGGCTCGAGCACACCTTGTTAAGACAAACCTGCACGTGTTGCTGTCCTGGAACTCAGGCTGTGTGAGCACAGAGCAGATCCAGTGGAGCCCACAGTGTTGGCTTTTGCAACAAAAGCATGAACACGTGTATGAATGTAAATAAAAGAATCTGGTTTTAAAGTGCCCTTGCATCACGTGCCTTTGGCATGTGGTTTCCTTCCAGTGTAATAGGGGCAATAAAAGGGGTTTTAGTAGTTTTGGAGAGTGAATGTTAAGTATATTATACTATTATGTACTGGAAAATGGAAAAATACTTGTGTTATGTGTAGCCTGCGGAGATATATAAGAAATGTAATCAAATGTACCTGTGTGATTCAAAGGAGAATCTTGTGATGCTGCAGAAGTGGGAGCTATACCAGTGCACCCTCACATGGGTCCATACACAGCTAGGGAGAATATTTGAGCCCGACTCTGATTTCCAAAAAGAAATTATTGAAAGGGTAATTGGATGTAAAGTGTTGTGCATCACTGAGCTCTGTGTGAAAGGTATCTGTTGGGCAGAGAAGCAGAGCCTGGCGCTGGAGCCTGAGCTCCTATAACTGTGGAAACTGCTTCCAGTTCTCAGCTTCCCTGGGGATTTCAGAGCACGTCGAGCACTGGATTGAAGTGAACCCATGCCAAATCTCCACGTGGTACCTGTGCCAGCACACCTGAGTGCATTCCATACCTCTTCCACCGTCACTTCAGGGGACACCAAAGTATCCCGAGTGCTTTGCAGCTCCCACGTTACCCCTGGAGCAGATGCCAGGGGCCGTGCTGGCACAGTGCCACCGTGTCTTTGTCCATCCCAGCTCTGCCTCGAGGTCTGCTTGTTCACTTCTACCCAGGCTGACCCAACTGCTGAGCTTCCTCTTTGGAGGAAGCAGTGCCACGTGGTGCCTCTCCTTTTTTCTCCTTTGACAAAGTTTTCCTTTAGAGAGAGAATAGTTTCTGCTTTTAAACGCAGCATCCACTCTAAAAGAACCTGTGTGTTAAAGCAGGCCATCGAGCCTTTCATCTCTTTGCTGGGTGATAGCAGTCATGAATTTTTTATTTTCTGCAGGGCTCACTCCAGATCTGCCACAGCATTGTGTGGGTGCACACATGTAAAAAGGCTACTAATTGAAATTCAGCTGTAATGAGATGAAGTTTGGTATTCACCACGGCTGCCTTTTGTTTTAGCCCTTGTATGCTCAGTGCACCTGAACAATGGGACCATTGCTTTTGCTTTTAGAACTAACAAGAATAACTTAAAAGGCAAAAATATGTCCGTGTCTTTTCTGGAGGTGAAATATGCCCCTCAAAAAATGGGAACGCTGTGTTAGTTTATGTATTTATTTACATACTAGTGGGGAAAGACAGAGATTTTGATGGAATTGAAAATAAAACAGAAATCTCACTGCTTTAAACTGCTCCCTTCTGAAGATGCAAATGTGTTTCTATTGCCTAGGTAACTATTATGGAACGCCCAAGCCTCCCAGCCAGCCCCTCAGTGGGAAAGTGACTTCCACCGATGCTCTGCAAAACCTGCAGTCTGGCTCCAAGCAGTCAACTCCAAAGCGAACCAAGTCTTACAATGATATGCAAAATGCTGGCATAGTGCACACAGAGAATGAGGAAGAGGATGATGCACCTGAAATGAGCAGTAGCTTCACAGGTAAATGGAAAATACCACAGTCTGACAGTTAGGGTGCACGGGAGAGATCTTTGAAGGGGTTAATTTGTCTGTTTGTGGGTTTTGCTTCCTGGGAGGCATTTTATTTTGCAGCCTTGCATTTTAAAGTCCTCCGGCGTAGGAGACTGCTAGATTTTTAATCAGGGTTCTTAAACAGTGAAGAATAATTGAGAATTTTATAAAAGATGTTCTGTGGTAACGTGCAGTTTCATCATTAAGGACACATTCATATTTCTTTCAGAAATTGTCTGTTGGGTGCAGACAGATTCTGCTTTCACTTACTCCAGTGTAGATTTCAATTACTCCATTGAGCCAAATGACAAGTTTAAGTACAGAAAGATGAAATGATGTCTGGTAGAAATTAAAGGTAACATTTGTAAATCCCTTTATGCTCTGAGTTAATCATTCTGGCAAACGCAGAGATTTCTTCTTAAAAAGAATCGTGTAATTACTTCTGATGTCAAGGAACATGCCATCATTTTGAACTTCGCTTTGTGGACAGTCAGCTTGAAATATAAGTCTCCCACTGGAAATCAGAAACTTTCTAAGTTGAAATGATCTTGAATACTACATGAGATACATTCGTCTTCATTGTGAACTAGCCCAGAACCTCAGTTCTGTCTGTAGCTTTGTCAGCTCATTGTCAGTTCAATCTCAGCCAAGCTCAGAAAGTTCAAGGAAGAGCTTGACCTGTGGTTGAGTTCCAGTCATTAAAATCAATATGAAATAGTTCAGGCATGGCACATTTGAAACTAATTATTGCTCCTTTTAAAATATATGACTGTCCTGTCCCCCTCCTTTCACTGGGAGATACTGCATGCAATTACAAGATCCTCTTCCCCACGGTCCCTTCCAGCAGGCTGAGGGCTGTGTGCTGTGGAAATGAGGCGTCACGTCCTGCTCAGTGCAGACCTTAATGCCTCTCTGGTTATCCTCAAACATTGGCTGAAAGATCACTAGAAACTCTTGTAATATAAATTCACACATCTCCGTGGAGCTTGAGAAGGATTTAGGCCAAAATGTAGTTTTGGTCTTTCTCGTGTCAAGTGGTTTTGAGGGTTGTGCTCTGCTTGGATGTTACCCTTCACGTTTTTCCAACTCAAATCACTGCTTGCTGGCCTCATCCTTCCCAGGCTACGAATTCCTGTCTCTGCCTTCCAGCTCCTTTATGAAGTTTTTTTACCTGAGGGTAATTTTTCATGGGTTGTGAGGTGGCAGCGAGCTCGACTCCTATTGCAGGAGGACCTGTTTTTAGGAGGAAGCCAGTGAGAGATGCTATTTGCCTTCCTTTCCACTCATCTCAGCGCTTTGCCCCTGAACTGGCTGTAGCATCATTTATTTCCCTCGTTTTATTTCAACAAGATGAAATACTGGAAGATGCAGCTCATTTGTCACAACATTCTCACACCCTGGCCCCTTGCCTCCATGAAATGGCACAGAATCAAGAAAAGAGAGATATTCCTCCTATACCAAAGTGATTCCTTATGCTCATTTCACGTATAAGTGTGCTAGTCATATTAAGATGCTCCCTCTTCCTCAGCAGACCTCTCAGTGACTTGTGTTTTTCAGGCTGTGGCATGTTTACACTCACAGTCTTAAGCTGGCGATGATTCATTCATGCCTTTTTATCTTGTCAGCTTCTACCTAAAAATATCAAACAGCGGGAAGGCTAGAAAGCAAGCATCTGAGAGTGCTGCTGTAGTCTAGATCTTTTTTTTCCATCTTCTTCCAGCTTATTATTTTCAGTATCTCATCTTTTTGTGAAGGCAGCATGCATGGTTGAAAAAGAACAGGAGCTGCCATTAGTGGGCATCCCAAAAAACTGGACTGGGGGGGAGGGGGTGTCTGTAATTAGCTGTAATTAGGAATAGGGGGGATGATCAGCACTGCTTCATGTATATAGCTCAAAATAGCACGAATGTAAGTGTGAACAGTATTTCCATCAAGGGAGAAGGGACAAATACATCATAAAATACCTCTTAGTGACTTTGACTGGTAGAATATAGAGTAGGTCTGTGTAGTAGAGCTCTCTAGACGGCTCAGACAGGCACTTATGAACATGTGGACACGTGGTGCAGTGCTGACATTCATTTTAATTTTTAATTAAAAAAAAAACCAAACCACTGCTAGAGAAGCTCACCATTGGCTTGTTGACTTTGAGCTTCTGGCTGCCACGTAAAGCATCTCTCCTTTTGATCGTTCTTCAGGTAGGGAATGTTATTCTCCTAATCCTCAATATGGAAAATGTGTTTTGTCTGCAGCAGAGTCTGGTGACCAAGACGAGCATCACACGCATATCGTCAGAGAGACAGCCCCACCGTCTGCGATTGATAGCCACACCAATCTTCCCACCACGGAACCATCTCAGAGCCTCCCTCAATACCTACCTCCTTCTGCCGAGGATAACCTAGGTCCTCTGCCAGAAAACTGGGAGATGGCCTACACCGAGAACGGAGAAGTCTATTTTATAGAGTAAACCTCATTCTTGTTGCTCTGATTCCATCTCTTTCCCCATCTATGGGCATAAGTAAACCTCTGTGGATGCACTGTGTGTGTGTGTGTGTATGAAATATTTAGTGTTATGTTGCGGAGCTAAAAGTTCTTTACTGCTTGTGAAGGGCTTTTGCATTTCCTGATTGGATTAACGTCCAGATGACTCCCAAGTTCAAAGACAGGGGAATTCCTCCGCTCCCGCACAGAGCCAGGCTGTGGGCTTTGTGCATTGTCAAAAGAGCCAAACGTGTTAACATGCTGCAGTGGTTTGCAGGAGGCACAGTTCTGTGCAAAGCAGGCACAGTAAATTCAGGAAAGCAAAAAGCACCTGGTGTTGTACAGGCTTTGCCTAAAAGCTCTGCGCTGTCAGCAGCTTTATGATGATATTGATTTTTTCTTCATGCCATAAATAATAGTCTCTAATTATACTTGTCTAGATTTATTGAGATAGGAGTAACTTATAAAACAGGACCTGTTGTGGAGCTGAGCTAGATTAAAATTCAATTAGCTTATGAAACTCGAGGCCTTAGCTGTGCAAGCAGAGGGAGGGATGAGGAATTGATTTGAGCTTTGGGAGAAGCCAAGGAGAGGTTCGTCATTGCAGGTTTTCTCTTGGCTACAGGGGCAGGGGAGCACATTAGAGAAGAGTGCCAGAATGCTGGAGAAACTGGGGGAATTTTGAAGATCTTAGTGTGGAAGCAGCTCAAATAATATGTTAGACCTTTTGCAGGAGAACAATAGGCATGGTGGAAAAATATAGTCTGCATCCACACCTCGCTGCCTAATGGGAAAATCTGGAAGAACACCAACTGCTGCCTTCCCTGCAGTGCAGATTTAGGGGGTACAGATGCATGGGGTGATTCTGTGCAGGAGCATGTTGGTGTGGATGCGGTGCTGAATGGCCACATTTCTATTAATTCTAAGGACAATCTGAACCTAGAAACAATTTAGTTTGATTTGTATCAAGCTAATGAGCTGATACATCCAAGCTGGCTCAGATGCCTGTAACCATCATCTGCAGCATTTTGAGTTGTCAAGTTGGGGTGCAGAAGGGAGCAGTATGGAAACATCAGAGATGCGTTCACACCACCAGCACAGGTCCAGGGGGGCAGAGCTTGTAACTGAAGTGATTTGTCCTCAGAATACATTGAACTGGTGTGCTAGTTGGATTTTCGTTACCCCATGTATCCCAATCCTTGTTACCCTACGTGTAGATCAGACCAGTTGCAGGTCTGACACAATCCCGTCCCACGAAAGGTGTTAGCTAAATTCTCTATGCCTCAACAAACAACACAGTTGTGAGCCTCGGGTTGCTGAATGCCAAATTGGAGGAAATATGTAAATATTCAGTTGCTGTCCTCCCACAGCCACTTTTCTCAGCTAGGCTACAGACTTTCCTATTTATAAGTTGGCAGGACCCCTCTGCTTTGTTGTTTTTAGTTTGCCCGACTTGCTGAATTTCTGCCATTCAGTTTCTAGCTGGCGATCCATTGCTCTGAAGCATACAAAAGGTTTAAAAAACAGTTTGTTCATCCTGCCTTGGGCAGGCGGGGCAGCAGGATGTGTAAAGCAATGACTTTTAACAGTCATAGAATTACTATGGTTGGAAAAGACCGCTAAGATCACCAAGTCCAACCCCAATCCATGCCCACTGACCACATCCCTCAGTGCCACATCTCCACAGTTATTGAACACTTCCAGGGACAGTGACCCCATCACCTCCCAGAGCAGCCTGCTCCAATCCTTACCATTCTTTCTAAAATTTTCCAACTATCCAACTCTTTTCCAACTATCCAACTGTTTTCCAAATATCCAACTGTTCAGATCCTAGGAGCAGGGCAGTTACAAGTCCTAGCAATAAATACAAGTTTGCTGGTCAGGTGTTAGTTCCTCAAGGATCACAGCCCTCGTTATGGCATTTCCTATGTCACGAGGCTGGTGTGAGGCTGAGGTTAAGCTTGTAAACCTCTCCGAGACCTTGAAGGAGAATATTTTTACTATGGTATTGAAGCTTCAAACTCAGCAGTGAAGACTAAGCCAGACAAATAGCACTTCAGGGACCAGAGGGTTATCTTTGCATGTCAGGTCTGTGATGACATCAGGCTGGGGCATATTACGAGCTTGTCTCCATGTGCAAATGAAATGATGGGAGAAGATAATTTTTAGACAATGACTTGTAAGGTTGTTCACACTGCAGCTTTTACCACCAGGACTGGCACTGGCAGGCTGCTGGGGGATTGGTAGGAAGGAAGAGTTGAAAGCAAAGCTGTTCTGCTTCTATCCAAGGCTTCCACAGAACATTTCTGTTGGTGTAATTAGAAGTTGTCACTGGAAGTTTTGCTTTTGACTAATGTGAGAGCCAAATCCAAACAAACGCTAAAGGTCTTCTGCAGTGAGAAAGGTCATTGTGTGTTTTATGGGGGAAAGGAAATTTATGTATTTTCATCGGGAGGCAAATGGCTCTGAGACAGCTCCTGGAATTAAGAAACAAATCACCAAAGCCAAAAGTTGAGAAATTCATATTACAATATTGTAGCTTTCATATACCTCCTGCCAGTCAGGAGCACTGATTTTCACAGTTCAGCTTTCTGTTATTCACCTTTGTTTTTACAATGCCACGATTCCCATGGTTTGGTGGGCTAGCTTGCAGAATAGCAAATTGCAGTGCTGTTTCTACTGAGACAAAAGTATGCCTTCAGGTCTACTGAATAATACAGAGGATATATATTTTTCTGTCGCTGATACTTCAGCTCTGGTTTATTAACAAAGGTCAAATTTCCATTTTTTGTTTCCAGCCATAATACAAAAACAACATCTTGGCTAGATCCACGGTGCCTGAGCAAACAGCAGAAGCCTCTAGAAGAATGTGAAGATGATGGTAAGAGACTGAAAATAGCTAAATAATAATGTGTTTGGTCCATTGCCTTTCTCTTTCCTTTCCAATAACCTGTGTTCAGAAATATGTAAAAAAAATAATATTCGTGAGTAAGTGCATAAAGGTGATGCTCATTATGTTGTAAAATCACTGTCTGTGTGTGTAAACCATCAGGAAGGCTGATTGTTTAATGAAAGAGGTGGTAGAAGGATGAGGCTCTGTTTTTGCAGAGGCTTTCCAGTTCACACCAGTGCTGACCGTACCCCAGAGCTCCGTGGGTCCCCATGTAGCAGGAACACATCAGGGCCTCAGTGGGCTCCATCGTGTTAACCTGGTTTACTTGAATTGCGTTTGGGCAGAAATAACTCAATTGCTTCACTTTTAATGTTAAAGTCTGGAGGTGCACTTGGTGTTAGGATTGCTAAAAGCAAATTCTGTTGGAAATGGTAGATTTTTGCCAGTGATAATCTGCACCAATGTAATTTTGTATTCCTTGAGATGTTGGAAATGCAAGCCACTGTCCAGTTTAGAATAGCCAAAGGCAGGGCAGCTAATGGAGGTTCTTTCCCTGTGCTGAAAGAAAAGGGACTAATGACAAAAACAACTTGAACATTTGGGAAGACTTTTGTCTTCAGACCAGAAAAGGTATTGGTATCCTAGTGAATCATTTTGGCTAACACAGTGCTATCATGTGGACAGATAATAAAAGCGAAGGGGTTCACATTATGCATGTTGGTGCTGTCCTTGTGCAATTAATTTTTGCAATGTGATTAACCTCCTACTGGTGTGAGTCAGCTCATTGCCAGTTACGATTTTCATAGAGTCGTTAAGGTTGGAAAGACCACTAAGATCATCCAGTCCGACCACCATTTTATTTTGGGAAAGGATCGTCTTTTCTATTTGACTTTTTTTACTGATAGGTGCAAAGCCCCATTCCTATTTTTGCAACGTGCAGTTTTTCAGACCTCCCCTTCCTCTCACGTGTGAGGTTTGCAGGACATGAGGAGCCGTCTGTGCAGCCGGGCATCAACTGCTCCCACTGAGCAGAGCCATCAGCTGTCAGGAGGAGCTGCGCCAATGAAGGTCTCTTTCTGGGCCTAAAAATGAATATGTCAGTGGGTAATCAGAACTGGAGCAAAATTAAATCACAGCATACGCAGGCAGAACTCCCTCCTCCTTGCAATTGAGCATTGCTGGCAGTTTAAAGAGGAGGTTGCAAAGGCTCAGCAGAAGGTTTATCCTTTCTGAGGGCAGTTTCCCCGGAGCACAGCTTCTGTCCTGGCAGTTCAGCCACCATCCCAGTAGCCCTGATAACATCACACGGCACTTCTCCTTGCAGAGGGGAAAGCCTTCTAGACCTCTTGTCCTCTTTGCAATTACAAGGCAAGCACTGGGATGATTTATTTAATTGGGATTGGAGACATACAGCTGGGTAATTTTTTTTTTTTTAATTTAGTTCATAATTTTACAGAGTAGCAACGTTGTTGTTTATCATGTCCTTAGAATTAAGAAGTTTCATCGTCCCACGTGCCCCTCCGCTTCATTCACCAAGTTGCTCATTAATGAACGTTCTTAATATTCAGTAATTAGACGAGCTGCTTCATAGTGCAGCAGTGCACTGCAGTGTTTTGCCTGGCTGCTCTGATCTTGCTTCGCACATAAGAATAATTGTACGTCACAGCACTAAGAACAGAGAAAATTATTTTTACTGCATCTTGGAAATTGGACGTTTTTTGGTGAGGGTCGTGTTGGGATCCCACTGAAGTCATGGGACTCTAGCTCCATTTTTTGTGTGTGTTGTGTGTGTGTACATGTGAGTTTCAGGCTCGATCCCATCCTGTTTGTGGACTTTGTGCCTGCTGGATGTTCTTTCCAGCCTGTCGGGTGTTATTTCTCTGTGAGGTGTGTCCCTGACAAGCTGCTGGTAGTTTCAAGTTGTTCAGGCTATCATAGCTCATATTTCATGTTAATGTTCCTGAACAGATGTTTTGGTAGAACCTATCGCAGATCAGGAAAGTGTTTTCTAGGTGTCCAAATTTTCAAGAGCAGTACTATGACACTACACCTTCTGCTTGCTTCTGTTATTCACTTATATGGCTTATGCTTTACCATATTAGGTCCATGTTTGTTTTTACCATCTTTGTTCTGGTTTTGTCATCATCCTTCATTTTCTGACTGCATTATTATTATTTATAGGCTAAGCAATACTTTAATCATCTGTGTCACTGTTAACTTATGAATATGGAGCAGATAATGATAAATGGAGCAAGAGCGAATATTGATGGCTTTGTGTGTTTGAAAAACTATGTGATCTTTGTCCCAAGTGCCTCTAAAACTGTAGAATTCCTGTCAATGCCTTTACCAATGCCTCTGGACTTCGGTGTGAGCCTGTGGCTCCAGTTAAATGAGTCATGAGTTGCTTCACATCCATCTTAAATCATCTGAGTAGGTACAGTGAAGTCAGTCAGACCTTTCATGCACACAAATTTAGGTCTGTTCTTGAGAACCTTGCTACATTAGTTCTTATTTAGATGCAAGGTTTTTCTCTCAGATTTCTTCATTGGCATTCAGGTCTGGCCGCCTGATAGATCCATATGTCTGCAGAATGGATTACAAAGGTCAGACCATGCAGATCTGAGGGAGAAGCTTCACTGCAGTGAGTATACGAACGTGTTGCTTTGCCACATCAAACTGTGGCATGCAAGTAACCCATTGATACAGGTATTCCATTTTTTTTTCATTATGTACATGAAATCCATCAATATTCTGGTCACTAGATTGTGATAAATGGGAAGCTTGGGCTCAATCTATAGAAAATTAGTGCTGGTTCTGCTGTTTGCTGTAGGGAATTTCTTGCTTGGTGCTGGTATCTGAATTTTTCTTTTAATTTTTTCTATCTCATTTACTGCTCTTCCCTTGGAGAAGAAGGGGTACACACGGAGGAACTGGACAGTGAACTAGGTAAATCATCCATCTCTCGTTTTGATGTTTGACTTCAACTGCACTGTGTTAAGCCTTTAATTGCTTTCTCCTTTTTGTCATTTTGCATCTTTCGATTTTGCTCATTTCAACAAGCCTAATTTAGCGACAAAACTTCCCTAGCCCACAGAGGTATTGGTCTTCCTTTGCTCTTACACAGATTTTCTTACTGATTCAGGGTTTGAAGAAAGCTGGAGGGCCTTAATTGTGCAAGGTTTGTTAGAAGTTATTTCCCCCTGTAGAAGTTAGGGGCTTTTACACTGTTATCACTGGCTTCAGGGTGAGGCCTGAGGTTGCCAAAGTTGAAATCAAGTGGCTAAAGGTAAAAATATTTCCCAGAGAAGAGAATTAAATAGTGGTTTAGGAAGTTTCAGTATTACACAGGATGCTTTTGCTGAGCTTGTGAATGAAGCAGCAGAACATTTTGCCTCAGTAGATGATTTCATAAACAGATGATTTTCGATGATGTGATACACTTTCATTTGCTGCATCCTTTTGTGAAGAGTGCTGTCTTGATATCTAATGTCAGCTGTGCTCGTTCTGTTTGTGCTGATGGTGGAGGTAGTTGTTACTTCTGTTCACCTACGCTCTAGTGCACTGAAAGGCACAAGATTGCAAAGGGGTTTGTTTCCACTTGGTATATTATTGCTTTAAAGATGACTGTGTTTACAGTTTATATTTGTGCATACAGGAGGGCTGCATTACCAGAGAATTAACCTCCAGTGTCTGTCATGATTTGCAAGTTATTTTGCTTCCTGCTTTCGTGTGATTGATAGGTCATTGGCAGCCAGCAGCTTTTGAGTGACTTTTAACACTGCACCAGCAGCTGTTCTCCTGGGTAATATACCTGGAATAGTGCATGAGGAGAAGGGTTGAAAAACAGATGCAGGAAGACTCATTACTTGATAATCCTGGCCCCAGTTCCGCAGGCACTTCTGCACCCAGGTGTTTTGCTTGAACATCACGAGATGTTCCCTTTGTTGTAATGCAGCAGAGCTTTATTGAGATCACAGCCCATTGATACACTGCTGAGATTAGCAAATAACGCCCTGAGAAGAAAGAGATGTTGAAATGGTTCAGCATTAGTGAGGGGGCATGAAAACATACAGCTTGTTCACTAAGTGCACCAGCGTTTATATAAACATGTTGTTGCCAAATAAATTGCTCTGCAGTGTATCTGCAGTTTGCTTTATGAATATGAGAAAATGGAAAGTGGAAGTATTTTTCAGAGAGATGGACTCAAGACGGAGTAATAGATCACCTCTTATGTTATCACCCTTGTGTTCTTAGAACATCACACTAAAAGAAATCTAGGCTTTGGAGTACAGTTGTTATATGGTTGGGCAGATCCTCCTGGACTCACCTACATGGGGAGCAGTGTGAGCTGTGTACACTGAACTCATCTCCGGCTCCTTTATGGTTGGGTACAACCCAAATCCCTGCTTTTGGAGTTGTGTTGCTGGAATCCATCCACTGATCCATTCCCTCTGTAGAACAGAGCACTAAACAAGAGCATCTCAGCAGGAGTCCGTGTATTTACCTCAGACTTAAAAGTGTAAAATTGGGTATTTTTCCATTGAATTTACCTGCTAACAAATGCCCTGAGGCTGCAGAATGCTACATGCCAAATTAAAAACCACGTGACTCGCTCAGACTCCTAATGGTGCAAAATGTATTTTTGAAGTCTTATGTTTATGAAAAATTCTAATACCCTGGGTCATCTTCAGTGCAGCAGAAGAGGTAGAGAAGGGAGATGAATTATTTAAAGCAGCTAAGAAGCTCGACTGTGCAACGTGGCTATGGAAAATAATGGTTTAGATTTCTGTGGAGATTACTGCTGTTAGATAAATTTCATAAGGCTTTTAGAAGTCTGAAAATGCGTCTACATAATCAACAAGTAATGTGTTGAAAGCTGCAGTTTTTTGTGTTGGTATTTCTGGTAATACAGAGATAGATTCTTTAAGTGGAATGCGGAAGAGATAGAAAACTGTCCAGTAGCCTGACGTGGTTTGGGCACAAGAGCATTTTTGGCATTAAGAAAACATTGGATTTCTGTTTTTCCATGGGCATTCTTTAAAAGAAAAGAAAACAAAACAAAACAAAATTTAACGTAAAAACCTGTTCATAAACAGAAGACAAGTGTTGTATTCTTGTATGTAAAAGTCAAAAACAGTACTAAAAAATAAACATAAGTGAGCAAGAAAAATGGTGGAAAACTCACTTTGAGGCATTTATACATTACATCTCCCTTCCCATATTCACTTTTTTCCCTCCTCCAGTGCTTGGTCTTTGGCATTCTGCTTTCACCATGGGGCAAGTTAAGAATGGAATGGCAGCTACAGCTTGTGATGTCCCTCATTGCTTGCTAGTTTTAATCTTGCTGTATTGAAATTCTTCAAGCTTGGCCCCAGAATGTGTTCACCAGAGAGGACTCCTTTGCAAACCAGAGATAGGTCTTTGCAAAAACACTTTGAAGACCTTCTGCTTTCTAACTTTTGTTTTCATACAGTCTTCTTCCTTGTATAATATGGAGGAATATCAGTTTCTGAAGCATCCATTTCAAATCAATTGTCTGATAAACTTGTGTAGTATTTTTATATTCAAATCTTAGCACTGGCTTGCATTTAATTGCTTATGTCTCAAGGAATCCAAAGAAGTTTAATCCAATAAGGACAAGACAGTGATAGGAATGAAAAACCTTCCTTCTGTCTGCAAATAAGGGAATGTGGAGCGAAAACCATGCAGTCAATTTCATCTGATCTTCAGCCAACTCTGAACACAGACATAAACTTTGAGTAATTAGCCCATGTGTGTTTGTATAGATTCTGTTCATCTCCAGTCTGGAGATATTTCTGTCCTTATGGCAACGTAGCTGAAGTCTCTTAAGGCAGGATGAGATAGTTACATTTATCCAAATTAACGGGCCATTGCTGATTGTATTGGTTGAGCAATTGATACTGTTAATGAAAATAACTCTTTGCATTTGATAATAAATGAACACTGATTGTTCACTATCGGTCTTGTCAATTTAGTGTTAAATCTTGAGGAATTATTTTGCATTGGATATTTGAATGTATATTGTCTGACAGTGACTTTAAAAAAAAGTGAATGTGCTGAGGCTGTGGGACAGGGAGCACAATTGCACAGTCCATTGCACGGTGAAGCTTTCTTTTGAGTTGAGTTACAATACTGTAGAACTACACCACTGGATCCAGTGGTAAGTTCAGTACTCACAACCAATAGGAACATTGTGTTTAAATGAGTAGGACAAGGATCAGGCCCTTAAGTAATACATGCAGCTTTAATAACCCTCAGTTGGATGCTGAAGTGATTTTATTATGTTCACTAATTATAGCTAAAGTAGTATATGCAGTCTAGAAAATCAACAGGAACAAAAGTGGATACATTTCCAAACACTAATTTCATCTTCAGAACTGTTTTTTTGTTAATTATGCCAATTAAAAAAGGGAATCTCTGTTACATATGATTATGGCAATATGTGCTTTTACATTAAGTGCTATGCAGTGAGATTACATCTGTGTGTGCCAGCCCCACATGGGTGGTTTCCATATGCTGGGCGTTTACATTAAACTCCTTTTGTCCTGTTCCAAGATGTACATTTACACTGGGCTGGGGTCTGAGCCATGCGATGTAAATCTCTAAGAAATGAGTCAAAAAATACACTGTTATCAGCAGGGGTGATCCTAAATGGCCTGGCCCTGGTACAGAAGAGGAAAATGCTCTTTCTATAGTCTGCTGCAGTCTCACCCATCTTCGTATGCTGGTGTTAAAATAAATCTGACCTGTTCACTGCGTCCATTTCTGTTGCTTCCATGGAGGGCTGCTCTGCCTTTGGTGGCCAAACCATGAGGGTACTTGTGGTGTCCCAGAAAGAAAACTTATCGACCACTTGTTCATTTGATGCCAAGAGCAAACCTAACATTGAAGAGCTAGGGCATCTTTCTGTTGATCTCCAGTAATGTTTTTTTCTATTTCCAGAGTTGCCTGCTGGTTGGGAGAAAATTGAGGATCCCGTATATGGTGTCTACTATGTAGAGTAAGTGCTGTGCTGTGGTTCTGGTGGGGCTGGTGGGCAGTGGGGGCTTCACTCTGCAGCATTCCAACAGCATCCTACGTGGAGCCCTGTGCCTGCTCCATTGTAAGGAGCGTGGTAAGGAGGTGTGGAGGAGCTGGTGTACCCACACCGCCCCACAGAGGTTCTTGTGCTGGGCTGTGCTGTTCAGACTAGAGTTAGGGGTTAGCGCAGCTCTCGCCAGAATTAGAACAGCTCCTTTATCTGAACGACAAATCCCTCCCTTGGGAAACTGGAGAGCTGAGTTTTGTTTCATCACTGACCCCATAAAATGAATTTTTAATTATGTGTATACTCCTGTCTGCTAGGATGGCTTACGATAGCCCTCAGAATAGACATGGAATGCAATTTCTGTCTGCTTTGGCTCATTTCTGACCCTACCATCTGTGCCTAGGGAAACAAGGTTAGCAAACTGTATAATTAAGGCTTGACATTTATTTGTCAAAGACATGGAGAATATTTTTCTGCTATTAAATGCCACGCCAAGAAATTTCTCCAGCTTTTTTTCCCATCACTTCACTTATGCATGCCAGTTAGTTCTATGGCACTCCTTCCTGTTGGAATTAAACTGGAAAGTAACAACAATGAGGCATAAGTTTATTTTACTTACTATCTATAAATTGGCAAAATGGTTTTAATTTGAGCATCTGTCTCTTTCTTCTAATTCAGGCACTCCATTATTACTGCTTAATAGTCTTTTTTGAGAGACAACTGTATGGCAAAAAGGTTTAAACTGTATCATTTTTTGGAATTGTTCTAATTTCTCCTAACTATCTGAAGGTATCTTGAAATGGAAAATCTTTTACAAAACTCATGAACTGGCTTTTACTTGCTTCTTTGGTTGTTTAAATATTGATCTTCAGCAGAAAAGTTCAGAACCAGCACTTTGCAGTGCTCATAGCATAATGACTTGAAAATGTGTTTGGTATCTATTGAAGACATGGCGGGATGAGAGACAATAAAATAACAAGTTCTTAAAGGTAAGCCTTGCCTTGGACACAGAGGTGGGCTTTAAGAAAATACAATTCAATCTGTGCATCCCCTCACGGTGGGAACTCTTTGTAGCTATGGAGAAGCTTTACAGTAGAAGAGAGATTACAGAAACTATTGAATTAATGGGTGATGAGCAGCTCAGCTGTGCTGCACACGTTACCAGGTATTGGGACTTCCTGTGTTTTTTGTTTGTTTGACTCTAATGAGTTGTAGAATGGCTGTGCCCCTAGGAACCCAGTTAAAGCAGTGACACTATAGGCCTGTCTTTAAAAATGCAATCAGACAGACCTCACCTTTCCTGCTGTAATTTCATTTCTTTTACAGAATGGATCGCTGCTTTAATGTATTTGATGTAATCTGCCATTCCTACTCAGACATCATATTGATACTGGAATCCTCTTTGTTTTCTTAAGCAGGCTTTTTGGCTCACCCAGATGAGCACTGCTTCACATACGCTGCTGTTGATATTGTTTGGTTTTTCATTCCCTTCCTCAGAGAGGTTTCACACCTGACAGTGATCCCTGCTTGTCACAGGACAGATTTCCTAATTCATCATTCTCTTTCATCCCCAGCCACATCAACCGGAAGACACAATATGAGAACCCGGTTCTTGAAGCAAAGAGGAAGAAGCAGCTTGAACAACAGCAGCAGCAGCCACCAGAAGGTTAGCAGCACCAAGGGCACCATGGTTGGGGTGTTCAGGGAGGAACCTGCCCTCTCTCACTTTGGCAGCCCCATTCTGATGGTTTTGTCCTTTGTTCTGTGGCCCATAGTGTGTTCTCAAGGTAAAACGTCACCACAGGAAGGGCTGCTTTGGGACTGCTTTGGGACTACTGAAGGGAATGTGAGGAGTGAGCATTTTACACATACACTAGAGAAACCCCTCTGCATGGGAGAGTTTTGGATATTGTGGAGCTCAAACATCTGAAGTAATTTCATGATTTCAAAACACTCCCCTTCCCCCTTTTTTTTTTCCTTTATTCACTTTAAATTTTTTTTTTCCTTTTATTTTCTTTTTAAAGCAACCCAATGGCAATGAGGGACTTACAGGTTTCTTTTTGGACCTTCATAGCTTTCCCACTCCTTGTTGAACAGCAGCTCCTGTCAAAGGGAGAGAAGATTTAGGTCTCAGCATTCATCCTACAGCTCCATTTGCCGCAACATCATCCCTTCTATTTAGCAGTCAGGGTGAACAGATGTTGTGAGGACTGTGAAGAATAGCTTTAATGGAAATGTTGAGACCACTTCGTTGCATGTCCCGAGTGTGTGAGGTATACTGTCTGAGCACACAGGTGGTTTGACTTAAACATAGAGGATCCTCCAGAACTGTTTTTTGAACATCCCATTCATTTTGCTCCTTCTCTCCATGTCTCTTTCTGTTCTTGCTATGCTTTACGTGTCTCCTTTGCTCAAACCCCACACTCCCAATGTGTGTACATGGAGGAACTCGTAGTGCTGTTGTGAAATGAGTAACATTTCCCTCTCTGCCCTCTCCAGAATGGACAGAGGAGTGTCCATCTCTCCCACCACCCGCTGCTCCAAACCTTGTTTCAAACAACCAAGAGGCAGTTCGGGAAGCACCAGTGCAAGGTAACAACCTTGTTAAACCAGTTGTAAAAGTACAGCAAGGTTTTTTCCTGCAAAGGAAATTCCCACTACAACCAGTAAAGGGAATATCATACACCAGGACACATCTGCTCATCTGAATTCCCCTAGACTTTGAGACTAATTGTTTCAAAGCCACATTTGGTGCCAAATGTGAGGAGCAAATGAGATTACCTGCATGAATAAAGGAATCGTGACTGTTCTTCATGTAGTGTCCCAAGTCTTCAAAAAGGCATGAAAACATGAGTTACATAGTGAGTTTTAACCACTGATGCTGGATGCAGGTATGAATAGGAGGAGATCTTTTTCTACAGAGCTTTACTGTTAGGCAAGGATTAGGCTTTTGTATCTTCCTGGCTGAGCTTACAGCAAAGCTCTTACAGTACAATCCAGGGCATTTCTTTTTGTTCACACAGGGCAGACTTCCCTCCCAAAAACCAACACAAAATCATGCAAGCCCTCCAGCACATTCCCATGGGATATTAGAGTATATTCGGGTATTCCAGATTGGCACCAAGGAAAAACATGTCTGGAGATGGTACCCCATCCACCAGGCATCCAGCACTGGTCATTTCACCTGAGTGTTGTTTTATACTATTGAGATGGTACAAGGGCTGCCCAAACTCCATGCCTGGCAATGCAGGACCCATAGGGGACCTCACTCAGCTCTCTACCTGCTCCCGACTGCCATCCACCAAAATCTTGCACCAAGATTTTTGTTAGCCTGCCTCAATGATGTTCTGGTCCACACTGATACTCCTTCTCTCTCTCATTCCTTCCTCTTCCTTTCTTAGTGCTGCTCCTCCTTCTCTTGCTCCCTGTTTGTAGCACTGTTCCCAGCTTCCCTGTCCCCTCACCCTGTACCCAGGTGTTCCCATTTCCCTCTGGTGGCACTACTGGGATCTTCCATATACACTCCTTTAAAACATTTTCCCTCTGCAAACACTGTAGGTGGGATGTAGCCTGTGGTGCTACTGTCTCTTGTTACTAAGGGCAAGTTCAAGCTGTATTTGTAGGCAGATGCTGGCAAGCTTTGCTTGTTCTGCTCATTTTTTGAACCAAAAACAAGCACAGGGCCAAGCCCTGCTACACGCTGCCTATGTTTTTCTGCACCTTGGGATCTGAGCACAGTATCTGCCTGCCATGTGCAGGATTACCACGTTCCTGTGCTACCCTTCAAAGGCAGAAGACTGAGTCCTTGCACTGCCCCCTCATGAATAATCTTCAAATATACATTTTATTTTATTTTTTCCCCCATTCAAAGGCTTACAAGCCTCCAGTTTCCCTCAAGGTTTGCTTTCTGAGCAAAGCCCCTCGGCAATGCTGCTGAGGTTTCTGAAAGGATGCCAGTTCTGCTGGCTGTGACACAGGCTGCTGATCCTGGAGCTGTCACCAGAGGGCTTAGTGGCACAGGCTTTTCCCCTCTAAGCATTAAAAATGATTAAAAGTGCAGAGGTGCATAGTATTGGCACTGTGAAGTACACAACCGTGACTCCTTTCCCATCCTGTGCAACGTGCTGTGCAAGGATGAGCTTTTGCTTTTGGAGCACCTTGTTCTCCCTTATCCGTGCTCCCAGAGAGCGTTAGCAGCCCTCCAGCACAGCCCCCCCAGGACTCGAGATGCTCTTTGATCCACCTTCACTACAGCACTGCATCATCCACAGCAGGTGAGGAGCAGGAAGGAAGGAGTCCGACTTGAAACAGTGTCTGAAGAGTGATGTCAGCATCCCCTCTGTTCCTCACCAGAGGAAGTCATAGGGGGGTAGTGATGCTGGGGTGGTAGGGGATTAGCTGAAGGGGTTACTTGGTGTGTGGACATTGCTCTGGAGCTGCTGGAGAAGGCCAAGTGGAATAAAACAGCGATACTCATTTCTGTGGAAATTCTCACTGCTGACTCCACCCCATCCTTAGTGAGTGGATATAACCACCTCGAGACAGAGATAAGGCACATTATCAAAACCAGCATTGCTAACTTTAATATATTCCCTTCCAAAAAAAAACCTTTTCCCCCTGTGTAGCCTTGGAACTGTGGTGCATACTATCACAGCAAAGGCAGCAGCTGGAAGTAGGAGGATTTTGCTCACTCCTTTCCCTGCATGATTGGTCCCAGGGAGACAGGTGGAGGGCAGAGAGGTGACAGGGCAGCAGAGTCTGGTCCTGTCCCAGCTCCTCGCTGTTTGTGCACTTGCTGAACGCAGAGGGGTGGAGGAAAAGAAGACCAAATGCTCTTGCCTGCCTTTTTATAGATTTTCCAAACTTCCTACACAGGGAAACCTTTTTTTACAAGAAACCCTTCTGAGTTGAAAGGGAAGTTCATCCACACCAAGCTAAGGAAAAGCAGCAGGGGGTTTGGCTTCACCGTCGTCGGAGGAGATGAGCCAGATGAATTTCTGCAGATCAAAAGTTTGGTGCTTGACGGCCCTGCGGCGCTGGATGGCAAAATGGAGACAGGTACTGATGCTGGAACTCAAAATCACCACCACCACTTTGGTTTCTGGTTTTGGGGCTGTTTTTATATGCAATTCAAAACTACCTTTAGTCCTCGTTGCATTTTTGGGATAAGATGTTCAGCTTTCCAGTCAGCAAGCAGGGAGGTGGGATGCAACATGAGGAAATCCTGAGAGGATTCACACATGCTGAGCATCCCTGTCTTACAGCCACAGTGTTAAAGAACTGAATTGTAACTTACTGCTGAGATTTCAGGCTGAAGTATGTCTGAGATGTGGTACATGGCACCATATTTGTGCAGTTGCTGTTTGAGTCTTCTGTTACAGCTCTCAGTTTTGTTCCTGTCAGATGTCAGTGTAGAACAGGGTGTGACAGTGAGAGCTGGGCTTCTCAATAACTGCTAAATGGGCAATATATTGTCACTTGAATTTATTACCATTTTGCATGCACCAAATTCCATTTTCACTTTCAGAAAGTGTTTATGCATGTGAAAGCTTTACGTGGTGAATCCACTGTGTGCTGATAGTTCTTGTTTGTCCAAATGTTACCACGGCTTTTCTTTACAAAATACTTTAGTGCTGCTCTTTGCCCACGAGTGGCACCAGTGAACTGCTGGGGCTCCAATTCTGTGTTCCTGGGGTGTACAATTGTGGTGTGGCTGTATGCACATGGTATATCTCTCTGTGTCCTCTGCAGGGGACGTCATAGTCAGCGTGAACGACACCTGTGTACTGGGGCACACTCACGCCCAAGTTGTGAAAATCTTCCAGTCCATCCCCATTGGTGCCAGCGTGGACCTCGAACTGTGCCGAGGCTACCCCCTGCCCTTCGACCCCGACGACCCCAACACGAGCCTGGTGACTTCCGTGGCAATTTTGGACAAAGAGCCAATCATTGTGAACGGGCAAGAAAATTACGACTCCCCAGCCAGCCACAGTAGTAAAACAGGGAAAGTCAATGGCACAAAGGAAGCGAGACCCAGCAGCCCAGCTGAGGTCTCCTCCAACGGACCCCATGGGTATCCCAATGACACAGTCTCTTTGGCATCTTCAATAGCAACACAACCTGAACTGATAACCGTGCATATAGTGAAAGGGCCCATGGGCTTTGGCTTTACTATAGCAGACAGTCCCGGTGGGGGTGGCCAAAGGGTGAAACAAATTGTGGACAGCCCGCGATGCCGGGGCCTGAAGGAGGGTGACCTTATAGTCGAAGTCAACAAGAAGAATGTGCAGAGCCTCACTCACAACCAGGTGGTGGATATGCTGATTGAATGTCCGAAGGGAAGTGAGGTCACGTTGCTGGTGCAGCGAGGAGGTACGTCTTTAAAACTACTTGAAAATATTTCTTACTGTAATTAAACTTCAGTGTTGAAAAGGTTTGTGTCTGGAGGTGTAGCAACTGCTGCATGTTGGCAGTTGTAGCGTCAAATAGACGGTTAAAATTATTTGTTGTTTGATGCTTTGCTGGGGGGAATGTGCGTGCAGCTCCTGTGTGCTCTTGCACTACACACAGCTTCTGGTAGGGGGCAAGCAGGTTGTATGGTTACACCTTTGCTTACATGACATCCCCTGATCTGCTCATAAAACTTCCTTCATTTAAAGAATGTGGATATTTCCTGTGTTGTCTGTGGGATGGAAGAGGCTTGTGATATATTCTGTAGTTTGCAGCGTCCAAACCCAGATAGCCATGGACTATTCAGTGTGGAAGGGTTACACCTGGGACGCAGCTGGGTTTGGAGGCACAGCATTTAAACTTTCCCAGGTTTACCAAGAAACTGAAATGCTACTTCTTGATCTGTTTATTTGCTGGCAAAGAGGAGCTGAACTCAGTTTTGGTTGCACTGCTGAGGCACTGTGGTTTGCATAGATGACACACACGTCAGCACCTTACGGGGATGGGCACACTGCAGGGACAGAGGGCAGCAGAGCAAGGAGCAGAGGCTGAACTCAGCCCTGGGAGCAGCACTGGCTGTGAAAGTGCCGAAACCTTCCCAAAGCGTTTTCATTGTAGAAAATCAGCAACCAAAGCCAGTCCATGTAATGGGAACAGGCTACCTTCTGAATTGACAGCTCTGGCTTATTGTTTTTGAAAGGCTATTTCAAGGATTGGAGGATGTGGATTCTGCAATTAATAGCAGTTCTGGAGCAAGCAAAGCCTTTCTTATCCTCCTTCTTTTCCAAGTGCTTACTTTACTTTAATATTTTGTTAGTAAATTAAAAAGTAGAGAATGGAATATATTACAAGTTCTCCAATTTTCCAAGCGTGAGTTCCCTGGAGACCATCAATACTGGATAGGCTTAAAAAATGCACCGCAGACTCATGATTAATATATGTATTTTGGAAAAAATATGGTTGGAAGAAAGATAGCAGCTATTATTAATTCTCCGTGAGAGCACATGTATATCTGGTACCACCGTACATTAATTATTTGAATTGTGGCTGACATTTAATAATCCTCCTTATGCCTTGAAGGCGTAATGAAAAGATTTTGATGAGGAAATAAAGGCACAGTTTCAATAGGGTAGTAAATAGTTCCCTGGTAATCTTGCTGAGTCTCTTTTTTAATTAATTTTTTTTTTTTTTGCTGAATTGAAATACTAAACACATGTTAAGCATTTGCTGTCCCCTTCCCAGGTAGACAATGCATCAGTCTCCTTGATCCCATTGCAGAAATACATTTGGCTCCTCTGTCTGTAAGCAAATTCAGGGCTCCTGGAGCAGTTCTTCCATAGCATCCCTATCAGTTGTCTTTTCCTCCTCCTCCCTCTGGCGTCCAGTGAAGAAAGTGCTCAGCTGCTGTCAGGCAGCCGCGCATCAACCAGACATCTGCATTCAGCTGGGCTCTGCATGGAGCATGGGTTGGTTGTATTTTTGCTGTTGTTTTTCTATTTCATCCCTATGCAGTGCTGGAAAATGCTTCCTAAGCCCATCTCATGGTTTGGGCTGTAACACTTGAGGGGTTCAGGAGGAAGGGTGCAGGTGGCTGATAGAGCTGTACATGAGAGCAGGTTGGAAAAGCTGCTCTTACCTAGCGAAATGAAGGGACAGAGGGGATAACATCAGTGTCTCTAGCTACTAGACAGGAGAGAGAAGGTCCTCGAGCCAAAGACAGGACTTGACTGAGGATCAGATGGGTGTTGTTTGGCTGTGAGTGATTTTATAGGGATCATTAGAAGATTCTAATCCATTAGAGCCTGTAAGTTAGACTAGAGGAGGCAGGAAGCCATTGCTGGGTGAAGGTGAAGCCCAGCAGGTCTGAAGGGGATGCGATGAGAAGATGCTTGGCAGGAAGTGCCAGCATCCTTGGTTACAAAATGCAGATTAACTATGTGTGTTTATCTCTGCAATGCACTCTGTCGTTGCACATCTCCTTTATTATAGAGAATTATTGTTAATCAGGTCACAAAAAGGCACATCTTTATTTCAAATATTTTTAACTGAAGCGAGACCCAGCATCTTTAAACATGTTACCTACCAAGTGAAAGCAAAGAAAGCAACAACAAAACAAAGGTATATTTGCCACCTGAAATCTTTTTTTACATTGAAGCCTTGTCTACATGGAGTGATCCAAATTCCTTTTCATTCTGCATAGAATCTATTCATATTAAAAGCAGCATTTTGTTGGAATAATCTCCCTGTTTCCCAAGTGACTTCTATTGCAGGGAGCTGTGTCTGTGCCAGGACAGGTGGGAGCTGCTTCGGAACAAGGGATTCTGCCAAACTACTGTGCTGCATTTGGGTCAGTCAGACCTAGCATTTGTCTCAGTGAGAGTATCTGCATGTCTTACTGATGTATTTTTCAAATAACCTCAGATTAAATATAATTTTATGGTGGTTTTTTTCAATTCTAAGCTAGTTTTCTGTACAAACCACCCAACACTATTGTGTCTGTTTTGTGTTCGGTTACAAGAACTGGGCTGAGTAGTTTTTCTACAGGTTTGAATGGACAGTTTCCCTTCCAAGCTTTCAGCATCTCTATTGACCAGGAGGTTGAAAATAGCACAGACCTTGAGCCTGATCTACATAATCCCCTCAGAGATGTCTTCTCACTCTGCTCCAGATCAAAGTAAAGGCATTCAGGTGGGATGTCATTCACATGCCATCTGCAAACCAGTGTAGTTTATAGTTGCATTCCCTAGTGCCAAATTCACATTAAGCTGGGGAATGGAATTCAGTCTTTTGAGACATAGATGATAAATACCAGCATTTCAAAACTAAGTGTATTTCATGGGAGGAAAAAACTAAGCAATATTAAATGCCCATCAGTAGGCACCTGAGTGCTGGCCTCCATGTGAGTGCAGTCAGTAGTAAAATCTCTATTCATGGCTCAGCTGTGAATGGAGGATGTTTGCTGGGAGAGATGAGGCAGGACAAAGCGGGGAAGTCTCTCTTGGTCCCTGATTCAGAGTTCTCAAGAAGGTAATTAGTATAACTTCAGCAGAGATTTGCAGCAGTGGAACAAAATTACAGAGCATTCAAGCAGTAAAACTGTTAAGACTGCTTATCTGTATGGAGCCTCCCTTGCTGTTCCAGTGGTGCTCTTGGCATGTGAGGCTCATTAACATCCACTGCTTCTTTTAGAGAGGAGGTACCTTCTTCCCAAGCCAGAAGTGCGTGCTGGAGTCACTTGAAGTTAGCCTAAAATGGAAGGACTTTTATTTTCTCTTCATTTATCTGGTGTTCAGGCTCTTGAAACATCACATAGTAATATGAAGATGTGTGTCATCTTATTTAGAGTGCTGGCTGCAGCTTTGGGTTCCCCCTAGTCCTGGCAGTCACAAGATCCTTTAGTCAAGTGTGAAAGCTTTACAAACAATATATCGTAACTGCTTCTAATTGCATGCGTGTTATGGCAGCGTGATTGACATCAGATTGTTCTTTGGGATCTGGAGTGTCAAAATACAGTGCTTGGGCATAAGTGAACAGCATGAAATACCCGAGCGAGATCTGCTACCACTGCTGGCCTCAGAGTATGTCCACTCACTTTTATAAGCAAAACCAGCAAAACCATCATATTTATACTTTATTGAGATCCCTTTCCCCCCATCGAAAGCAAACTTTTCCTTCCTGTCCTTACAAGAAGTGTTGGAAAGCAGTCATTTAGTGGTGAGAGCCAAAGGAAAAAAACTATGGCTGATCTCAGTGTTAGAATTAGAGCTCCTTTTCAGTTGCTATCCCTAATGATGTAAACCCATGGTAATTAGAACTGCAATCAGCTATTCAGTAGAGGCTTGAACTCTTTTGAACAAGCCACTCACTTCTGTTTGCCCTTTAGGCTGCATTGAAGAACGAGCTGAAAGTCAAGCCACTTGAGCATCTAGCTGCCAGAATATTTCAGACTGCCTTAGCAGCTGCTGAAGTAGAGAAAAGTGAGTCCAGAGTGCTTTTAGGACAAAATCACAACCTGGGAATCGGATGACCGTTACCACAGAGCCCGTGTTCCTGTGCCAAAGCTTCTGGAAAGGGAAGAAAAGTTCAGGCTTTCCAGCAGTGATTTCAATTCTCACTGCAGAGGGAGCAGAGCATTATACTGGGCTCTTTGTCCCATGTTCAGATACGTAGAAACCCCCATGAAAATCCATCCCACTGAGCTGGGAGCTGCCATCTTCCTTATGATAGGATTTCCTACTGTATCTACCCCATAGGCTACCATCTTGTGGCAGCTTCTTTGCCCACCAGAAGCAAATGTAATTCCTCTCTGCCACTTGGTGTGCTCCACTGAGCTCAGCATTTCTGAAATTTCCATTTCACATCCTCCCTTTTTTCCTTACCTCACCCTCCCATGTCAGCCACCATTGATGCTGCCAGGACCTTCTGCTCAGGTGTCTCCTGTTGGTTGAGTCCCTCAGCAATTTGTCATTCATTGTCTGTTATTTCAGTGTGCATGCTATTGTAAGTGCAAGTAGCACCAACAGAAATAGCAGCTGGGGGTATAGTTCTGATAACTCATAAGTGCCCCTATTTATTTAGTAAATTATTTTTTTAAAAATGAGAATCACAGTATGTTTAAAGAAATATATATTCAAGTGTAATCTCAAGATTTGTATTTCATTTCCTTTGTAATTGCAGGGCTACTGCTTTGTCATTCCTGATTTATGCACTTCCCCCTTTAATTAGGAACCTCATTTGGCACTTAAAGATCTGCCTTTGATTGTTTCCTGTTGTTTAATTTTGTTACAGTTTTTTTAAAAGACTTTTTCCTGGGAAGGAGGAAATCAAATGAGTAAAGCTTTTAAGTTGGTCTACAGAAACCATAAAAATGAAATGAAATATATTTTAAGTGTTTTGCAGCATTGTCTTCCTGTTTTCAGACT